TTAAGAACCACTGACGTAGACAATCCACCTAACAAATATATACTGTACCTTTGCATAAAATTCCAAGAGCACTTGGTTCTGTACTAAATGTTGCACACAAGTAACATTTAATCTCACCCCCCCCCCAGTATCCATAAACATCTCATGACCACCTATTCCACAAAAGGAATTTTTAAGGTGGCTATCCAGCATCTGAAATTTCACCAACTTAACACTGTCACTTGGTGCTGTTGTTTTTTATAGTAAATAGTTGTAGCTGAGTTACAAGTGTCTTTGTTTGAACAATACCAGGTGTAATCCATCCAGCTCTGTTAATATGTTCTGCAGAGGATACTTCATGGTGGTTTTTGCCATGACCTCAAGATAAGTAAGCACAAAGTTGTAGTAAATATAAAATACAGTTATTTTCATATGGTGAATGATGTGATAATTTATCAAATCACCTCTACATTTTATTGTGCTTCTAGTCATTGGCAGAATCCTATTTGAGATTTACACTGGCATAAGTGCAGTTGCATAAACCACAGTGGCAAATTGCCACTAATTAATCAGTTGCTACACATATTAACCTCGTGGCGCAGTGGTTAAAACGCTGTACTGCAGCTAAAACTGTGCTCACGACCTGGGGTTCAAATCCCAGGTAGCCGGCTCAAGGTTGACTCAGCCTTCCATCCTTCCGAGGTCGGTAAAATGAGTACCCAGCTCGCTGGGGGGGCAATGTGTAGACTGTATAATTAAAAATTGTAAACCGCCCGGAGAGTGCTTTTAGCACTATGGGGCGGTATATAAGTCCAATCAATCAATCAATCAATCAATCAATCAATCAATCAATCAATCAATCAATCAATATTCGTGAGCATGTACCAGTCATGCAACCAGGCTTATAATGAGGAATACAAGTGACAACTTATTAATTAGCAGCATGTTGCTGCTGCGGTATAATCAATTACACATGTGAATTTTTAAATTTCCAGTAGGATTTGGCCACTATATTCTGAGTTGGGTTCGGACTTGTGTGAGTAGAAGAAAGGGGAAGCAGTGTTTGCTACAGCTAGCAGTACTTCCCAAAAATGTACTCTGAAGTACTGAGGTGGTTTTCTTTGGAAATAGGGCTAGTGATAAAAAGAAGAATTGGGTACCCTCTCCACCACCCTGAAATCATCAGCCTTCCACTGGAAGAAGGACCTCTCTGGTCAAAATTAACAAAGGTTTTCTGAATCCCTTTTGGTTTTGTCTTATTTTCAATTTGCCTCAGCAGTTAGGCGTTTTCAGTTCTTGTTCTGATAATAAAAGAGACAGCATTATTTAAGAACAATCACGCGAATCACCTATTTGCTCTTTTTTAAATGCTTTATTTAGAGAGACTTCTGATAATCTGCCGGCACAAAATCTAAAAGGATCTTTCTCTAGTACTTCAGGTACGTAACTTATTTATTAGATTTTTACCCTGCCCCCCAGGTAATGTCTACTCAGGGCGGCTTACAATGGTGTGACAAATTAGCATTCATTATTTAGCTTGTATGCACTATATCAGGGGATGTGGTGGCGCTGCGGGTTAAACTGCAGAATCCACATGACAGAGTGAGCTCCCGTCACTAGGCCCAGCTCTTGCCAACCTAGCAGTTCAAAAGCATGTAAAATGCAAGTAGATAAATAGGTACCACCTCGGTGGGAAGGGCGTTCTGTGTCTAGTTGCACTGGCCACATGACCACGGAAACTGTGTAAGGACAAACGCCAGCTATACGGCTTGGAAACAGGGATGAGCACTGCCCCCTAGAGTCGGACACGACTGGACTAAACGTCAAGGGGAACCTTTACCTATGCATTACAGTGGTACCCCGCATAGCGACGATAATCCATGCAGCAAAAACTGTCGCTATGCGGGGGGGGGGAAAGCTCATAACAGTGGTACCCCGCATATTTAATGCATTCCTATGGACAAAAAAAATCACCTTAATGCGAAAATCCTCCATACGGCTGCCATTTTCGCTGCCCGGTAAGCGAGGAATCCTGGCAAAAACACAGTGGGTGGCCATTTTATTTACCCGGCGGCCATTTTGGAACCGCCGATCAGCTGTTCTAAAAACATCACTATGCGAAAATCGGTAAGCGAAACAACCTACCGATCATCGCAAAGCGATATTTTACCATTTAAAACATCACAATGCGATCACAAAAATGATCGCAAAAAATTGTCACTATGTGGATTCGTTGTTAATTGAAGCGCTCGTTAAGCGAGGCACCACTGTATATCAGAAATCACATATTAAACTCTATAAAGTTTTGAATGAGAGGCACGGGAGAAACAGGAAGAAAAAGGAAGAGTTTATATATAATTCTTTGTACCACTTTAGGTTTGTTTGAATCTCATGGAACTATAGCAGTGCCCAACATCTGTATTGTTCCACCAGAGAAATTGTCTGCAAGTGTGCGACGACGTTATGAAATGCAGGTACTGACGATGAAGTTAATAATGTGGTTTTGCAGCAGTATACCTCGATAGAAGTGGTGTACTTGTCAGAAAGAGGGAATCATAGAAAGTGGCCTTTGGTTGAATCAGACCCTTGGTCCATCTCATTCACTATTGTCGTACTGACTAGATGGATCTCTCCAGGGTTTTAAACGAGAGTCCTCCATCTCAGTCTGGTGATGCTGATGATGGTACCTGAGGCCTCTTCTAGATGTGAAGCAAATGGTCTCCCATTGACTTACAGCAATTTCTTGGAGGACAAGGAGAGACCTAGTGCTCTGATTTAGGTAGTGACATAATATTGTACAAGAATATTTTATTGAGAAAAGAATCTCCTGCAAGGGTCCTTCACTTCACTGATCTCTATTTTTTCACCAGCTAAGATAATCGGGGAATATTGTGAAGTCCTTGATCTGTGTAAAACAAGCAGAATTTAACATTGTCATCATTCCGTTATGCAAACTATGGCCTCACATTGCCTTAATTAACAACAAAATCTTAATAAAATGGTTTGGGAGCCCTTCTGGCCAGCCTGTTTTTTTTTTGTTTTTTGTTTTTTGTTTTGGTTTGTTTTGTTTTGCTAATGCTTATGGAAGAGAAATTACTGGAGCAGCTGCAGAAAACTGTACTTGATGAGGTGCAGGCACATACAACTGGCATATTGTCAATGCTCCGTGCCAGATTTTGCTATTCCTTTTCTGCATGTGCTAATCTAATAGGATTCTGGTGTCTCTGTTTTAGTAACTTCAGAATAAAAGTTACTATTTAATGTTTCTTCAATAAACAACTGACAGCTTATTCAATTGATGCAGGTAGTACAGCTTAATTGCACATATTACTAAAAGATTTTGTTATGTGCCTTTAAGTCACAACCAACTGATGGTGACTTTAATAGGGCCAAGGTGAGATATACATCCCCAGTGAGTTTTTGTGGCTGAGAGGGGATGTGAACCCAGACCTGAGTCCTAGTCCATCACTCTGCCCACCACACCACACCACACCACACCACAGATCTCTTAAGTAATGTGTAGTTGTTGAACCTGGAATAGCCCTTCAGTATATGGATTCTTCCAAGAGACCCCTGTGCTGTGAATGATGCACAGAGAAAGGACTTTATAGTTTGTACTTCAGTGGGAGTGTTTTTTTGGTTTAGTTTGAAAATGAATCTTCAACTTAGTGTATTATCTGTGAATGCAAATGTAATTTTCAGGTGCAGACCAAACTTCAGACCTGCTTCGCTACTCTGCAACTGAAGTCAAGTGAAGTTGAAATTTTAGCAGTAAGTCTCTTTATTGTAAAGATCATGTTAAGTGGAAAATAGATGTTGACTATTAACTGACATTCTCTATGAATAAAGCAATTTCTGGTAACTGCTTCAGAAACTGAGATATAATAGTTTATAGGAACTCTGAATTAAAACTTACCTTTCAAAGTGTGTGTTTCATTGACAGCAACACTACTCAGAAGTATATGAATCTTAAGCACGGTTAAACTACAGAAACCACTTTACTGAGTGATTATGAGTTTGGTGTATGTATCAGATTGGGCTTTTGCAAAGTTAAAAACAAACTGTTTCAATTCCCTATTGTTTTGTAACTAGCCTATGCAACTCAGCCGCAAAAGTTTATCAGCTGATTCTAAGGGCTTGGTCACACTGGCAATAAGAACTGCTGTTGAACTGATTTCAGCATTAAATTGATTTATAAATCCCTGGGCAATGCATGGATGAAATCGATTTATTTGGGCTGCCCAGCAGGTTTTTTTAAGAGATCAGCAGAAGTTTTTTAAAATTGATCCTAAATCAATTCAATGCAGTTTTGTAGATATGAATTGTGCCATTTTAATTTGTGCCTATGTGGATTTTGGATGGCATGGCAGAGGCACCACTGTTTTTTCCTTTATTTTTAAAAAATATCTAGTGGTGCATTGCTTAGTGCAGTGTGACTGCATAATTTTTTCTGTTGCCACCAGTTTATCGCTGCATCATTTCATCAATACATTCAGGATTATAATCACCTACACTGATTCCTCCATTTGGGTGATGAAACTGTATTTCCCATCATTAATTGGCTGTTGTCACCTCTTTGGTGTTTCCCTCATGGTTTCTAGAAACTATTATAACACCAAGTGGCATCTCATAGATTTCAGTGGCCACTGATTTACTTTTTTAAAAATATTAAACCAAAAATCTGAATGTGCTCCAAAAATAGAATGGAAATTGAGTCAATTCTGGTGTAGCTTCCAAAACCAGTTTTAATTACCAGAAGCACGTCAAAGTAACGTAAGTCAAAGTGAATATGCCTACCAAGTTATGTACCACTTGATTTTACAATGATTCAAAAAGTTGGGACTGGAATTAATGTAAATTGGCAGTGTGACTCAGCCATAAGAGTAGTGACAACCCTGTTAATGCATGCATTCTTTTGAGCTCAGGATATTCCCTGGGAATAAGTTTAACAGTTCAATCTTGTGACAATTGACAACAGAACTCAAAAGAGGAAAATGCTGGGGAGGGGGGCTCTGTACTTTAGTATATTTGACTACAAATTCCTCCCTAAAAAAACACACAACACAAAGTAGAGAGTGTTTGAAATGAGATTATTATTTTGCCTTCCAAATTTACATTTGTTCCTTTTTAAAATGGATGTCTACCCTACCCTTCCAGAACTTGTAATTTGTCCAGAGATATTGGGTTACTGGGTAATTTAAATGAGCAATAAATTTATATGAACGGTTTGAGAACTATAGAGGCTAAACATTCAAGTCTTTTAGGAACTACCATTTTAGAGCAACCCCTACGGCCCCAACCCACTAACTGAAAATTTTTCTAAATTACCTGAAACTTAAGATACAATGCTTTATGGGTTTTTTGTTTGTTTTTTTGCAGGTAGATCTACCAAAAGAAACTATAATACACTTCTTATCATTAGAGGTAAAGCTACAAACTTGTAATCTAGCTGCTTATAAACCCTTGTGTTAAGACCAGTAAACAAGCATTCCTGTTCAACAAAATACTATTTGCTTTAATGGTTATTTTCCTTTCTCAGTGTGATGCAGATGAACAAACATTCTATACAACTGTGAAACAACTGCTGTCACGGCTCCCTAAACAAAGATACCTCAAACTGGTCTGTGATGAAATCTACAATATCAAAATTGAAAAAAGGTAGTAGTGCCATACCTAAAGATTCTCATGTAGAACCTTGAGTGTTATTTTGCAAATGTCTGGCATGGTGCACTATACAAGGAATATATAACAAGAAATAACTTCAAGTACAACTAGGCTTATGCGGCTAAGGGCTTAATCAATTCTTAGCATTCACCTTGATTTATCCTGGATTTCATGAAGGAGCTACAAACAGTGACCCACTAATATATGACACTGGAACCGCAATTTGAAGCAGAGTATGTAATAATGCACCCTTTTGCTTTCATCCATATGAGTGGGTGCTGCACATGGACATATACAGATCCATGAACTGTCTGCATGGGTCAATGAAATGATTGATTGTCCTATTGTTACTGTTACATGATCCCAAGAGGGTTTTCAAGATATGTATGATATTCAAGAGGTAGTTTCCACAGTGACTCTCCATGGCCAAGCAAGGACCTAAGCTCCACTATGCTACATTGTCTCTCACAGAGTGCCCTAGCTGAGTAGTGTTAATCTATACGGCTAAATTGTTGCTCATGGTTTTCCTGTTTTTCTTTCTTCCAGAGTGCCAGTGCTTGTTCTCTACAGTTATAGAGACGATTGCTACAAGATTATATTTTAGTTACAAATGTGTTTGAAGAGATGAATGTTAGGGTAGTAAAATACTGCCCAGAACCAAAAACATGCTTCCAACTATCTTAATGTGAAGGAATATTTGCACACTCTTGTTACAGAGAGAAATTCTAAGTGCTGATGCCAAGAGCAAGACCAGGCCAATTATTGTCTTTGAAATGCCATGGGTCTAGCTCACGTGCCTCACTCTGTACTCTACAAAACTGTAAATCTTTCTGGAATATATTGTACAGTAACTTTTTTATATATATATAAAAAATTCTGGTGCTTTGGTGTGTAGTTGTCATTCTTTAAAGCAAGGACAACATATTAACAGACTGAAACAATCAACAAGGCAAGATGTACAAAATAGAATTTTCACTTACACAATACACAAGTCTAGTACAGTGGTGCCTCGCTAGACGATGATAATCCGTTCCACTAAAATCGCTGTTTAGCGAAACCATTGTCTAGCAAAAAGCATTTTCCCCATTAGAATACATTGAGACCTGTTTAATGTGTTCCAATGGGGAAGAATCGTTGTCTAGCGAAGATTGGCCATAGGAAAGCCGCTTTGCGAACCGCAGATCAGCTGTTTAAATCACTGTCTTGTGAAGCTTAGGTCCCGAAAAAACCTGTTTGCAAGTGCGGAGCGAGCTGTCAAAATCATCGCCTAGTGAAAACTGGTTTGCGAAGCATGGACCAAACATTGTCCAGCGAAATTCCCCCATAGGAATCACTGTTTTGTAAATCACTATAGCGATCGCAAAAAGCCAATGTTTAGCTAAAAAACTGTCATGCGGGGTAACTGTCTAGCGAGGCACCACTGTATCTATCTTCTCACCTGCTTGTTCAAAACACTAAAAGCTTACAGTGAAAACAGCACAGAACACAAAGCTAGAGCAACCTATTTTCAAGATGGATTCTGACGTTTTTACAATGCACACATTGTTCTCTTAAGGAAGCATTAAAATTATCCTTAGCACCAATCATGAGCCTTTCACATGGAAAGCAGGGGAAGAAACATACTAAAACAACTTTTTCTAGCTAGTGTGTCTCCACAGTAGCTCCTTTCTTGACTAATCACAGTATAGGAATCTGCTTTATATAGAGAAAACAAAGTATTAGCAGCATTGACTGACAGCTGCTTTCCAAGGCAACAGGCAAGCTTCCTTCCTAAGCCTCCTTAGAGATATCAAGAATTTGAAATATGGACATTCTGCATGTAAAAGTGCTCCAACAAACCTATGGCCTTATAAAAGTAGAAGTAAGAGCACTTCAAAAATGAATTCCTTACCTTTGCTATTTTTCAAACAGGTTCCCAAAGCACACCTTCTCACTCACAATAAATCAGATACAAAATTTAGCATCAGCTTCAATACGAGTCTTGTGGATATTTATTTCTACAACCACAATCCACAGAGCACTTGCGTTTTTAACAGCATACATACATTCCAGTTATCAGCTGGAAATGAAGTCAAAGGAGAAGTGATGGTACAAAGAAAAAAAATAGTGTTGCAAGCTAGACTTTGGGTCTGTTGCAAGCAGGAATGTTGTCCTCTGTCATTGTGTTGCTTTGCTTTTCTTGTTTTTGCTTTTCTTATCTTTCTTCTTTAAACCGTCCATATTTGCTCTGAGCAAATTTGAGTAGGCCTGCAACCAATAAACACCTTTTCAAGAAAATGCTTTCAAATGCCATGAAAGTAGACATTAATTTGATGAAATTAATATGTTAAATTGTTCTGAATTTAAAGTGAAATATAAACTTACCATCTGAAATTTGTTAACTTCCTTTGAACTCACCTATTAAAAAATCAGACATGTTATTTAAAAAGTACAGTGTTTCCCCAAAAATAAGACAGGGTCTTATATTCATTTTTGCTCCAAAAACACATTAGGGCTTATTTTGAGAGGATACTTTATTTTATTTTTTTTCATGTATAACAATCTACATTTATTCAAATACAATCATGTCATCTTCTAGTTGCTGCACAATGGTGGAGGGTGGGGTTTCACTTAACTAGGGCTTATTTTGGGGTTTATATTATGAGCATCCTGTAAAATCATACTAGGGCTTATTTTCAGGTTAGGTCTTATTTTCGGGGAAATGGGGAACTGAGAAAGCAAATGTGTACAATATATTCAAAATTTACTAGACCTACTAATGACTACTTTCAGTGGAATAAATTTGAAATTATAAACTACATTCTAATAATATTATGCTTCAAGGCCATGTATCAGTTTCAGGGGACAGGGAAATTAGCTCTTCAAAACAAAGATTCAAAGACCTGTAATCTGCACACCCTTAGAATACATTAGAAACAATCATATTTGTAACAATTACCACATAACTTTTAAGCCCCATCATACTAGGTCTTTTTGGCCCTCATATAAAAAACTCAATGAATTGAAGCCAGCCTCTTATTAAGGCGTACTACCTACCACTGTGCTTATCTTTTTTTTCCCATCTGTTGCTCTAAGAAGACATTTGTTGTCTACAGGCTCAAAGCCCTCAACATGGCCCTTTCGCGGAATGGGTCTTGTCCGACCATCATCTATATGAAACAAAAACATTGATTTATTTATACATACATACAAGCTAACAGACAGAATTCCATACAATCAAAGTATTAAGGTAAGAGAATGGTGAAATGCAGGCTGGCACATCTATTGCTCTGAAGTTTGCTCCAAAGATAAAGAGAATTCTGAATGTGCAAGCTGAGAAGCAAAAGCTATTACAGTGTTGCCGGGTTAAACTGGACATGTGAGTTCCAAGTTCATTGAAGAAGCTCATCTCTTCTGCTAAGTGTAGCATAGCCTAAAATTTCTGCCTCCAAAGCAAATACGTTTCTTCTTGCACAGGAGAAAAAAAAAAAGGGAAAGACTATTTACACTTCCATAATGCAGAGCTTGACCTACTTCTAATGATTCAGGCATAGAAAGAAAAGTAGAAATCAACTCAACCAATTTCCAGTTAACCTTATATAGTCAAAACTGAAGGCAAAAAGAAAAAATCAAACTAAGTGCTGCCGCTTCACCTTTCAAGAGCCTGTGACAACCCCTCAGTGGTCCTTGACAAATTTCCATTTAATACTACTTGTACCAGAACTTTCTTCCTTTCATCTGAAACCTTTTAAGTCTTTGTCTGGCTTGAATCTAGGAACTGATGTGAAGAGGAAGAGTTGAATATCCAGTATTTAGTTTTCAGTTTTACTTCCCCCCCCTTCTATCTGCTACTGTTTTCTATTCAGAAATATTGGGATGAAACAGGTTATTTCCTACATATGATGAACCTGTGGCTCCAGATGCTGTTAGCCCAATCCAACACAGCCAATGGTCACAAATCATGAATATCATAATCTAGCATCTGGAGAGACATCCCAGACAGTATATTTTATAGAACAGAAGTGTGTATGCTCCTTTTCCAACAAGCAGGAAGATGCTATGCAAAAAGAGTTAAGAAAAAATCTATTGTGGTTCCAGACATAGTTTACACAGAAGTAGTTTCTCAGCAGTAGCATATTGTTAATTAAATTGTAATTTCAGCTTAACACAGTCAATATTCGTAGCATCTGCTTCTTTAACTTTTAGGGATATAATGTTGAAAGAATTATGCAAGACAAAAAATTATATTTACTGTATACAACTCTTTCAGAAGTTCATATACTTACATTTCTTTAGTGTTATATAAACACTGCCTGTGGTTCTACATTTCTGAAAAAGCCTTGTTAGCTCTGTCAAAAACTGTGAACAAGAAAACCATAGAATAATGGAATCAGAAGAGGACTATAAAGCCACTGAATCCAATCCCTATTCAATGTAGGAATCCAAATGAAAACAAATATAAAATTAAGAAAAATCTTAGGTATGTTAAGTTTTAATTCTTGTCAAATTCATGGTAACAAAAAAATCCATTCTGAAAACTGTTTCCAATAATGGTGTCTTATTACAACACCCATGTTTTAATATCCATCCATGCTCCGAAAATCATAGTTTATGAAGTGGGGATAAGCTCTGTGTTGTCTTGCTTCTCCTCCCTGCCCCAGAATGACATGCATCATATCTGAAAACTATTATACCCCCCAACCCCAACAAGAGAACTCCAAATTAATGTGTTTAAGTCTTTTTTGTTTGCTTACCAACATTAAACCTGAGGTCTCTACTTCTATGAGAATGATGCAGTATTCTAGTGTAATAGAAGCCACCATCTCTACGTCAAAGCCAGCATGGGAGGAAGGAGGGGGTTAAGGCGAAACACACAGCCATGTCTTGCTTTCAATTTTGCTTTGTAATATCTGCAATCCTAAAGTATCCACGTAAGCAAAGAACGCAAGACAGAAGCCTCCAGGGATCTAAATCCTGGCTGAACCTCAATCTTTGTATACATTTAAAAGTGAGATGTTTCTAAGAGTTCTCCTGAGGGAATGCAAAGCGCAATTTCCCTAACTTATGTCTCTATTTTATATTGATTTGGTTTTACTGGTCTTTGGCCGTAATAAAGTATACTACTACTGTACTAACTTATGGAATGAAGGAGCTTCGAAATACGCTGGTACATCTCTGCAGACCTAAGAAGGGTTCATTAAACTGCAATTCCTCCAGCCTTTCACCATCAGCTTAAGAGGACTTCAACTGCAGCCTAGCAACATGTAGTGTTGCATGCAGAGGTTGGGCACTGAAATCCCCTTTTCTGAGCTCCTTGACCCGATCTGGGGAAGCGGCAAAGGAACACGACCGAAGGCCCCAGTAGGGCCAAACCACCTTCGCTTAACACCCAACTGGCGGCATCTGCTTTACGTTGTTAAACAAGAAATGGGGCGGGGTGTGGCTGAGTAACATTCACATGGATTGAAAAGCGAAAGGACCTGCTCCGGAAAGAAGCGTTTCAGACCCACCGGGCGATTACCCTCCCGCCCGCACGACCCCCTCCGCAAGGCAACCCCTCTGCCCCATATACGGAGAATGACCCGGGAAAGAGCACCTGTTCGCTTTCCAGCAACACCATGGCTCCGCCGTTTGCTTTCTTCCCCCTTGTTTTGGCCGGTAGTTCGACACTTCGGAGAGCAACTAAAAGCCCCGTCACAATTTCGAGACTATCCGACCGACCCGGAAACGGAAGGCCATCTGCTACCACAGAGTCCTGGGGAGGCTAGAAGGGCGACTCGAGCTAGCTGGCTGTCGCCCCCACAAGGCTCCAGTCCGACACTGCACCTACTCGCGCTCTACCGTCCTCTAGGGAGGCGGTGGCGACAGGAATGCTGCTTTGAAAGAAAGTAAGAGTCGGTGTGTGGTCCCAAGCTCGATAGAGGGTTAGGATTTTCAACAGCTCCTCACCACAGTGATTTCCACGTGGTGCGGATTTCCAGGAAAAAGGGGCTTTTAAAAATGGAGATTAAGATTAAGCATCCTTCAGTCTTGAGAAACTATGGTAACGTGCTCTGAGTAGAGAACTTGGTACCGCGCCTAGTGTGGCTGAGAAGGCCAATTCGAGAGTGACAATCCCTTTCAAACTGAATACGAATCCAGTCTGTCCCCTGTCCAGCTCCCTGATCATGCTGCTTTCCGGACTGCCTGTTTGCCTTGGCCTGCTGGATAAGGGTTTCTTCAAAATGGGAGAGGCTGTGATGCACCGCCTGCCTTCAAGCTGAACACTCAGGTGTCAAAGTTTGCCATCTGTTGAGGTCCATTCCTAAGGCCTTCAGATCCCGCTTGCAGATATCCTTTTATTGCAGCTGTAGTCTTCCTCTGGGGCTATTTCCCTGCACTAATTCTCCATATAGGAGATTTTGGAAACCATCAGCCATTCTCACAACATGCCCAGGCCAATGTAAACGTTGTTGTTTCAGTAATATGTACATGCTAAAAATTCCAGCTTGTTCTAGGACTACTCTATTTGGAACTTTGTCCTGCCAGGTGATACAAAAGATCCATCGGAGACAACGCATATGGAACGTGTTCATCTTCCTCTCCTGCCATGCACAAAGGGTCCAGGACTCACTGCAGTACAGAAGTGTGCTCAGGACACATGCTCTATAGACCCAGATCTTGGTATATGCGGTCAGCTTCTTATTGAGCCATACTCTCTTTTTGAGTCTAGAGAACATGGTAGCTGCTTTGCCAATGCATTTATCCAGCTCAACATCTAGGGAGAGAGTGCCAGAGATCGTTGAGCCAAGGTACACAAAGTCAACCTCTAATTCTTGCATGGAGATGGTAATAGAGGGAGGTGAGTCCACGCCCTGGCCCATGACTTGTGTTTTCTTCAGGCTGGTTGTTAATCCAAAGTCTTGGCAGCTGTTGCTAAAACATTCATGAATTGTTAGAGGTCTTCAGCAGAATGGGCAACAACAGCTGAATCATCAGTGAAGAGGAAGTCCTGCATGCATTTCAGATGGACTTTGGTCTTTGCTGTCAATCTAGAGAGATTAAAGATCTTTCCATCTGATATAGTCCGGAGGTAGACACCACCTGTTGCAGTTCCAAAGGCATGCTTCAGCATGACAGCAAAAAAGATCCCAAACAGAGTCGGCGCAAAGACACAGTCCTGTTTCACTCCACTTTGGATGTAAAAGGGATCTGATGTTGAGCCATTAAAAACTACAGTGCCCTTCATTCCCTCATGAAAGGACCTGATGAGGTTAAGGAGTCAAGGTGGACATCCAATCTTGGGAAGTATTTTAAAAAGGCCATCCCTGGTAACCAAATCAAAGGCCTTTGTGAGATCTATGAAGGCCACAAAGAGGTTCCCTACATTTCTCCTGCAACTGTCTGAGGGAGAATACCATGTCAGTGGTGGATCTATTAGCTTGAAATCCACACTGTGATTCTGGATAGACTGTCTGCAAGCACCTGGAGTCTCTTCAGCACAACATGGGCAAACAGCTATATGTCATTCAGAACAAGCAATGTTGTTAACTCTTAAACATTCTCCTTCATACCCTCTCAACCACTACTCCCCCGCCCAAAACTCCTAAACTTCCTCAGCTCACTCCAAAACTCCTTATATAAACTCCGTCTCCTCTTGCTGAGTCTTTTATATCTGCCCTCCAGCACTCCCATTGGTCTATGCAAATAGAATATTAATATTCATGACCTGGGTGGATGCCACAGATGTCTATTAAGTTCTTTCTAGAAGAAAGAAGTGATAACCCAAAACCTACCTGACCTAGCACTATACTAGAAAAGTATAATTTAAATATATACTCCCAATTAGATAACACTAATAATTGGGATTAGCAATCAAAGGGTGTCTGTTTACAAGCAATTCCTGGTAATATTTACTAATTGACAGCAATTAAGAACTAATTAACTAATGCTGGGGCCAGTCCTGTTTGAACTAGCCTGCACCATCCGCCAGTGGAAACTTCAGCCAACACTGAACATACAGTGGGGTCTCTACTTAAGAACGTCCCTACTTAAGAACAATCCAACTTAAGAACAGCTTCATTTGCTAAATTTTGCTTCTACTTGAGAACAGAAATCCAAGATAAGAACAGGAAAAAAAAACCTTTCCTGCTCTTTTTTTAACCTTAGGTCATCTTAGGTTAAAAACAATTCTCCCCCTAGTGGTAGAGTACGTATTAACCAGCTTTGCATTAGTCAACTTAAGAACAGCTCCATTTGCTAAATTTTGCTTCTACTTGAGAACAGAAATCCAAGATAAGAACAGGAAAAAAAAACTTTCCTGCTCTTTTTTTAACCTTAGGTCATCTTAGGTTAAAAACAATTCTCCCCCTAGTGGTAGAGTACGTATTAACCAGCTTTGCATTAGTTCCTATGGGAACTAATGCTTCAATGTACGAACGCATCTCTACATAACAAAAAACCAGCCAGAACGGATTAATTGGTTTTCAGTCCATTCCTATGGGAAATTTTGCTTCAACTTACGAACGTTTCAACTTAAGAACACCATTCCAAAACGGATTAAGTTCTTAAGTAGATGTTCCACTGTACTATACAGATAGATATAGATATAGATATAGATATAGATATAGATATAGATATAGATATAGATATAGATATATACAGTACATATATTTGTGCGTGTTATTTTTCCAGTATAATGCTGTGTCAGATAAGTGCTGCAGTTTTACATTTTTATATGAATTCAGCACTGTGTCACCAAGAATATTTTTAAGACGTGCAGAATAGGATAGTATAAATTAAAAGACGTCTGCTTCTTGGGAGGAAAACAATGACAAACCTAGACAGCATCTTAAAAAGCAGAGACATCACCTTGCCAACAAAAGTCCGAATAGTCAAAGCTATGGTTTTCCCTGTAGTGATGTATGGAAGTGAGAGCTGGACCATAAAGAAAGCAGACCGCTGAAGAATTGATGCTTTTGAATTGGGGGGCTGGAGGAGGCTCTTGAGAGTCCCCTGGACTGCAAGGAGAACAAACTTATCCATTCTAAAATAAATCAGCCCTGAATGTTCACTGGAAGGACAGATCCTGAAGCTGAGGCTCCAATATTTTGGCCATCTCATGAGAAGACTCCTTGGAAAAGACCCTGATGTTGGGAAAGTGTGAAGGCAAGAGGAGAAAGGGACGACAGAGGATGAGATGGTTGCACAGTGTAATCGAAGCAGCCAACATGAATTTGACCCAACTCCGGGAGGCAGGGGAAGATAGGACGGCCTGGCGTGCTCTGGTCCATGGGGTCATGAAGAGTCGGGCATGACTAAACAACTAAATGACAACGAATTATAGAGATAGGTGAGTAACCTCTTATCGCATTATGAATTGTAGTAATTGGAGGTACACTGTGGACTCTTGGTCCTCAAAATGCCTGAGATAAATTTTCCATGTGCATGACAATAGTGATTTAACTACTACTGTATAAGAAATTTTGAATAGATTTGAATCAGCCTGGGATAGCCTGCCTGTCTACTTGAACCCCCATTGGTTAGTCTTTCTCAGTTTGGTGAAATGTATTTCTGTTTCAGTTACAATAGTAACTTCTAAAGGGATCTGTCTACATATCTATTAGATGTGGTTTAGGTTGGAAGGTAGGATCTTAAAATGTAGGAAGAATGTATTTCTTTCTTTATTTAAAATACAGTATTTATAAGCCACCTTTCTTCTAAGGATCCATGACAGCTTGCAGTATTAAAAGAAATGAACTTAAAAGCTAAACAATAAATTATTACAATATTTTAAAAGCATTAAACAGATACCATACTTAAAACACAAACATAAGAACAATATTAAAAATACAAATAAAAGAGCTGAATAAAATAATCCTTTTAAAAATCCCCTTGGTCAACCAGTTATTTAAAGGAAAGCCTGCCTGAAGAGAAAGATCTTTGTCTGCTTATAAGAAGGACAGCAAGGATTGGGGAGGGCAGCTTCACATCCCACGGGAGGGAATTCCAGAGCCTGGAGGCAGCAACAGAGAAGGCCCTTTCCCATGTCCCCTCCGCATGAACCTGTGAGGGTGATGGGACCAAAAGAAAAGCCTGATTATCTTAAAGGGGGAAAAAAGTAACTGTGCTGCTTATATACTGCCTCATAGCACTTAAAATACTCTCTGGGTGGTTTACAAGTTAATTATGCAAATTACACATTGCTTCCCCCCCCCAGCAAGCAGGGTACACATTTTGCCGACCTCAGAAGGATAGAAGACTCAGCCAACCTTGAGCCAGCTACCTGGGATTGAACCCCAGGTCATGAGCACAGTTTATACCTGGATAGGCTTATAATGGGGGATACAGTCGTTCATATAGCTTGGACCCAGGCCCTTTGGGGCTTTATAGGTTAAAATCAGCACTTTGAATTGTGCCCGGAAATGGACTGGCAGCCAGTGGAGCTGCTGTAGCAAGGGGGTTATGTTATCTCTCTAATCATCCCCAGCTAGCAGTTGGCTGCGACATTTTGGACCCACTGGAGTTTCCAAACACTTTCTAAAAGCAGCCCCACATGAAGCACGTTACAGTAATTCAGCTGAGATGTAACGAAGGCATATGTCATCATGGCCAGATCAGACCTCTGCAGGAATGGACGCAGCAGTATCCTAAGGGAGTTCAAACTCAGACAGGTAGAGAAGTCTGTTCCTGGAGTTGGGGGCAGAATCAGTGGAGGGGGAGGCTGTCATTTTGGGGGCTGTCAGGAAAGAGGGGCATGGAAAGAGGTT